CGCGATTTGAACGATTTGGACGCTCAGATCGTTCAAATCGCGCTGCTCTAATCGCGCTTGAGGCGCCGCAGAACTTCCCGACGTTGCTTGAAGCGCGTCCACCATAGACTTTGTATGTAAACCTGCTGCTCCTGACGCTGAAATCACGTTTGGTGTGAACGCACCTTTAGAGTTCCCCTTTGATGTCACTTCCTGTTTCACTTTGGCTGAACCAAGTTCAAAAGAAAATATGCAGTTATGAGACAAAATGGGTAAAATTGTGTGTTTTATTCCAACTTTCTTAAAATATAACGATGTTTTCTTTGACTTTTTGTGTTTGAAGTAAATGCATGTCACAAGTACTTTAAAGAGAATAATAAAATCTATTTTTCTGAAGAAATACAGAGAAGAAAAAGTGAATCCATGCAGATTGTTGTTTGAGTTGGTGTTTTAGGTTTAGCTTTGTTTTTAGCTGTTTTGATTTCTGTTGTAATTTACTTTAATTTTGAACATATTCTGGGGATAATCTGAGGTTGTTCTTCCATGAAGCAGCTCTGTTGTCCTCCATCCATATTTTCAGCTCCAGGCTGAGTCATTTCTACCTTCTCCTCTCTGTCAACGCTCTCTGGTTTCATTTAAAAGAGTCGATCATCAGATATTGTCCAAGATTAACCTTCAGGGTGGATATAGCTCGCTAGCAGCCTCGCACCGAGGACCTATCCACGTCATCATTTACCCAGAATGCTTTGTGTGCAAATAAAATGGCTCCGTCCGTTTTAAAAAATATTTTTAAACTTTTAGTTTAAAAAAGATTAAAACTAAACATCCTACAGTATTTTTACACTCTTTATTTTACAGTTAAAATAAATGTTTATTAAATAAAGTCTAATGTTAAAACTGATCGGGATCCCTTTAACCCTGGTTTTCTTCTTTAAGTACTATAAGTTTTTAGTTAAAACTGTATGAAGTGGACAATTTATATGTACGAACCTTTGGGATTTCTTGGAATTCTGCATAAATTAATCATTAAATATTCTGATCTTCATCTAAGTCACAACAATAGACAAACACAGTCTGATTAAAATTTTACCGCACAATAAATGTTTGCATGATTTTATTCAACACATGTAAACATTGTTGTGAAGAGGAATTATCTAAAACTTCCTCCTGACTGTTGTGCAGGTCTGATCTGCAGCTGCAGGAAACCTTTGAGATTATTGCTGTTAAAGGAGGATTAACCACTTATTAAATCTAATGTTTCAGACTTTTTCATGCAACTGTAGTTTAGCAGGTTAATGAAATTCAGTCCAGGGTTGTGTCGTACAAGTAAATAGTTTTCCCTTTTTTAACCACATATTTTATTTGTTGAGAAATTATAAAATAAATGTTAGTTTTATATTATCAATCATCATAAATGACCTTTGCAAATCTAATCAGACAGTGCTGCCCTGATGGAAGCCGGTTTATAACTAAATATTTTAGGAGGTATCAGGAGGACAGCACACACACAGATCAGTAATAAAACGACACTTTAAAGTGAAAATAACAGGAAGTTAAAAACCTACGTTCAGTGGAGTTCAGGTGACCTTTGACCTCTGGTGGATCTGAGAGCAAACCCTCGGTCCTTTAGAGACGCTCTGAGAACAAACAGAGTTTGGATGAAGGAGAGAATCTGAGGTTCTGTTAACAAAGTTCTGAAAGTTTCAACCCGTCAATCATAAATCCTCCAGATTATTTCATCTTTAGAAACAAACAAATTTTTTCTTTAGATCCAACATCTGGTTCTGATGGTTAAATCCACTCACCTTCCATGTTGAAGAAACCAGAACCGGTTCTGTCCCCGTCGATGCTGACTGCAGACCTACGAACACGTCTTTAACATCCTGCTGATTTGGACCCGAACAGAACCGACTGAACCCACTCAGCCCGGTCTGTTCAGGACTTATTGGCAGAGAGACGATCGATGGTCCTGAAAACAGCCGACCCAACTGTCCCGCTTGTTCAGTGAACCCAGAGGACCAGGACCGGTTCTGATCATCTGAGGTCAGAGTGGACCATGTAGACCAGCGGGGTCAAACTCATTTTCACCGAGGGCCACATGAGTTATGGTGGCCCTGAAGGGCCAGTTATAATGAACCTTCATGTTTAGTTTTAACACGTCCTCTTTTAAACACTAAGAACTAAGTGTTTGACTGATTAAATCTGTAATAAATACTGAGATATTAAAAGCTAATAAAGTTTTACTCTGAGTTTCTAGTGAGTAGCTGCATTATGTCAGATTTAGTTTATGTTTGATGGTGACTTTAAAGCAGTTTATTTTCAGACATTAGTACTGTGATKTACAACTAAACTGCTCAGTTACTTCAAGCCAACAGCTCAGGGATGTTTTTTAATTTATTTTTATTAATTTTGTTGTGTTTAACAATAAACTTAGTTTTTCATTGATATAAGAAACAAATTTCATGTTAAATAAAAAATGGGAGGGGTGGTGGGCCACAAGTCACCTGCAGGCCACGTTTGGCCCGCGGGCCTTGTTTAACAGGTGATGTAGACTAAACATCTTCAGGTTCTTTAAACAGAAACTCTTTTGTCTCCTAAAAGGTCTGTTTTAATAAAAACAAACCTTCAGGTCCAAATCAACTAACTAAATAAAACAATAAAACAATAAAAGTGGAGCGGTCTGGTTTGTTTCCACACGGATCAATGAAACGTTCCATTTCACACTCGGCTCAGCTCAGATTTTCATTTCAGGGTTTCCTCCGGCTGCTCATCCATTAACAGGAAATCGATGGAGCCGGACCGGACTGGACCGGTTCCACGAGTCCTGACCCGCCTCAGACTGAAAACACCATCAGGTCTGTTTAAAACAAGTGAAATCAGACGTTTAGTTTTAACGTTACAGATTTATTACTGAAAACTTTTCTTCCTACTGAAGATCAAACATGCAGAGGAACAAAGGAAACCAAAGCTGCTGCTCAGGAACTGGTTACAGTTTTTAACACTTAGCTGCTGACGAGACGTTACAGCTGCAGCTTTACACACAAATCATGACGTCTGGTCCAAACTAACCAGATTCTTACTTTAAATACTGAGTTTTATCAAAAAGGAGAAACTTTAAACCAAAACCAGCTGAAACTGTTCAGATTAAACAAATAAAAATGAACAGGTTCAGAGTTTTACCGGAGGGAAAACTTAGAAACATTTTTTATAAAAACAACAACAAGCAGCAGCGTCGTTCTGCAAACGGAGCCACGTTCGGGTCAGAACCAGACCCTCCTCTGGGTCCGTCTGACCAGGGTGGGGGTCTCTCCTTTTAGCGGCCTCCGGTCTTGCGTCCCGCCCAGGAGCGGGAGCGGGAACGGGATCTGGACATGGATCTGGACTTGGAATGGGAGGGGGACTGGGCTCGGCGCGGTTCTTCCTCGGGGTAGTGGGACGCAGACGGGTCGGGTTTCTCCTGCGGGGACGCAGACCTGGAGCGGGACCTGGACCTCCTCCTGGACTCTCTGTGAGGCCTCTGCCTGTACCTGGAGACAGACAGTCAGTGGATCAGAATGCTACGCTAACGGGCTAACATACTATTGGTACATCAGAATGCTACGCTAACGGGCTAACATACTATTGGTAAATCAGAATGCTACGCTAATGGGCTAACATACTATTGATAAATCAGAATGCTACGCTAATGGGCTAACAAACCATTGGTAGATCAGAATGCTACGCTAATGGGCTAACATACTATTGGTAAATCAGAATGCTACGCTAATGGGCTAACAAACTATTGGTAAATCAGAATGCTACGCTAATGGGCTAACATACTATTGGTAAATCAGAATGCTACGCTAATGGGCTAACAAACTATTGGTAGATCAGAATGCTACGCTAATGGGCTAACAAACTATCGGTAAATCAGAATGCTATGCTAACGGGCTAACAAACCATTGGTAGATCAGAATGCTACGCTAACGGGCTAACAAACTATTGGTAGATCAGAATGCTACGCTAATGGGCTAACAAACTATTGGTAGATCAGAATGCTACGCTAATGGGCTAACAAACTATCGGTAAATCAGAATGCTATGCTAACGGGCTAACAAACCATTGGTAGATCAGAATGCTACGCTAACGGGCTCACAAACCATTGGTAAACCAGAATGCTATGCTAACGGGCTAACAAACCATTGGTAGATCAGAATGCTACGCTAACGGGCT